CCAGACCCAGATGCATTCAATTGAAATAAGTATGTTTCGTCTTCATGGTAATTGAATACGGATATTTTGAATCTGAATATGAACAATGTGAAACTGTCATCAGTTTCTTCCTTTAATACTCAGCTGTGAACGTCCGTAGCAATCTATGGTTATCTCTCGGGGGAAAATTTCCCAATGAAGTTGCTTTGGTCTTGTATTTATTGTTGGCGATTTCGTAGACATGTTTGCGACAGAGGACGGTGATATGATTTTTAATTGATTGAGTCGATTTAGCTGTGGAGTATGCTTCTTTAAGGGAATCTCCAAGAAAGAGTGTCATTTAACCGGATACAATGGCGATGATATAGAATCCGTATATGGGCTTTGGACCTGCTCCGAACATGGCCTCGTGACAAATCGTAATATATATATATATATATATATATATATATATATATATATATCTTTACTATCTTATAAAACAAATCCCACTATTTCTAAAAATAGATTAAATAAAATAATAATATTTTTTTAAGACGTCCAAATCATTAAGCTAATTGTACAACTAATCACTAATAAAATAATATTAAATTTTAAACAAACTCCTATAAATCTTCTCTTCCAAGGTTTTGACCAGATCTTTTTTCATCCAAATAAATACTCAACACCCTATAATTTGGTCATTTCATGAATTTTTTTTATTTTTAATATGACATGTTTCCTAAAACAAACTAATGATTGAATTGAAAATAATCATTCTCCATCGAAAAGAAATTAATTGTCGAAACAAACTATTTGTCGTCCGCCGCTTTGCGGGTAAACGGCTAGTGTGTGTGTGTGTATATATATATATATATATATATATATATATATATATATATATATATATATATATATGAACTTGTTGTTTGTGGAGATTAGAATCTTCTTGGAGCTAGGTTTGTTCCAGAAAAATCAAGGGTTTAATTTTTAAGCGGAAGGAACGATTCGAGACTACGGTTTGAGTGGACGAAGGGATGGAAATGGAATAGTCGTCGTTGTTGTTTGCGGATGTAGAGGTAAAGAGTTATTGAAGGTGTGGTTACAGGTGGGCCGTCAGTGGTCGATTGGTGGTCCGATGACATCATGTTTGTTGTTTGCGGGCGTATTATTTTGATTATCGAGAAAGAAAGTGTAGCATAAAAGAAGGGGGCTCGACGAAGATGATCCCAAATAGATTAACTGTCTGTTACAGATGTGGCTATCGAAAAACAAAGAAAAACTTATTAGTAATGACACATCAACATTGTTACCGGGAAACCTATTATATTTGAGAATAATGGGTTAATTGACATGTCAAGAAAAAGTTTAATGGCCTAATGCTCCAAAAAAATAGTGATCAAATCGGGAAAATGACTAATTTTTAATGTGCCACAATAAGATTTATTTTATCGTATTTTATAGCATAAATTATAGCATAAATTACAAAGGGTTGTTAGACCCGAAAGTGTTACGAGAGTTTGTGATATGATGCTCCTACGAACTAGATAGTAAGATCAGTAGATATATCTAATAGTGAAAATACTTAATCTGGACGATGAGGGTTAAAAACCCTAATTTACCAAAACTGATGCTTTAATCAAGTTCATCGGAAAGAACCAAAGAAATTAGTAACATTAGTTTTAATCAATGAATCTATCTTTTCTAGAAATCGAGTAGTGTAATGTGGTGCTTAAGGAAAAGAAATTTGAAGAAAGAAAGCATTATAGAGGAGTAAGAAAAGCACTCTTACATATGTGGATGTCAAGCAAACAATATTAGTGACAATGTCGGTGGTTCCTACCTCTCATCTCACCATCTATCCTTTTACTGACCTAATTCATGAACCTTCCCTTCCATCTGAAACTATATCTTCTTTCCATCATTTCCGATGACATATTACATATGTATAATTTTATACAAGAATTTACATGAACCACTTTGTCATTGGATTAATGGGAAGGAGTTGGCTTAAATATTGATTTCCAAGAATGACACATTCGGGTGTCTTTGGTAGATAATGATGGTTTCACGTGTGTGTATGTGTGTGATGAAAGGTATCGGGTGTGGGTAGGTTTTTCTATATTAATTTTATTAAAATATGTAAATATGTAAAAAGGAAAAAAAAGGAAAAGGTATTAGAAAGGGTAAGATGATCTTTTCATATGGAACATGGACGGCTGATGCATTGAAAGCAAACCACAAGGACCATCCATGTTACAAAATCAACAGTATGACCAATAATATGAATTAGGGAAAACCACATGGACCAAATGTATAATTTATTCTAAAAACTAATAAAAACCAATCATTGAGTTATATCAAAAGAATGCTAACATTAGTCAAATACTTAATCGAGTTTTAAGCGTTACTACTATAACAATGTCTATTTGTGTTCGAGTTCCACCATAGGTTTTTCTTATACCTTTTTTAAATAATAACAATGGTATAAATATATTAACACTAACTATTATAATAAACTAGTTGAGTGGTAGAGATGACAAAAAAACCTTTACCCGATGGGTACCGGAAACCCTAACCCGAGTTGACAGGATAAACCCTTAAGTTAACCGGGGACGGGGATGAGTATTACCCTAATGTAAAAAGCGGGGATTAGGCTGGTTCTACCTGTCGGTTACCCATATCCATACCCGAAACCGACTCTAATGGGTACTCGAGATATATATATATATATATATATATATATATATATATATATATATATATATATATGATGTTTTTTTAGTCAATTCATAAATCATAATGCATAAACGGAAATCAGTAGACAAAGCGAAGTTTTCCAACAATCACACTTTTTGGATGACTTTTAAGCTGTGTTTGGCGTGACACAGCTAGCTGATAAGCTAGCTTATTTTTCGAGCTTTTTTATGTTGTCGTGTTTGTAAGTTAAAAAGTAGCTTATAAGATAACTTTTTGAAAAGCTACTTAGACTAGCTTTTTAGGAGCTTTTTTAAAATTATCCAAATACACTCCTTAATTAATTATAGAAACATATATCCTTACATGTCCTTTTATGTAATTTTATATATTTCAGCTAGCTTTACCAAACGTTACTTTTTATCAGCTAGCTTTTCAGCTATCAGCTAGCTTTTTATTCATCAGCTAGGTTTTCAGCTAGTCCGTCAAACATGGCCTTAATGTCTATGTTTTTCTTTTTTATTTATTTTTCTTTTCATAGCAAATGATTTATGTTGTAAACATGAATATTATTGTTGGTGTTTGAAGACATTAACTGATTATAGTGATTAATATTAGTTTTTGTTTTGTTGGTTAATATGTATATATGAGTTATTTTTCATAAAAGTTCAAAACATTGTAATGGGAAAGTTGAGGATAGATTTTTAATCATCGAACTTGGAACATAAAACTTGATATATCTGTACCCATCCTTATTGAGTAGTATAAGTGATGTTATGCAATTAAAATATCGCTACTTCAAGCTTTTTTGTTTGTTTGTTTTGTTTGTTTTCAAGAAATGCTCATTTTTATTTTTTTTCAAGATAATATTTTGTTAAAATTTGTATTTTCTTGAAATTTCCCTAACTTGTATGGAAATCTTTTATTTTCTTGAACTTTGTCCTAATTTTTGTAATATATATATATATATATATATATATATATATATATATATATAGAGAGAGAGAGAGAGAGAGAGAGAGAGAGAGAGAATATTTGCTAACAAATATCATTATTTTTTAAAATTGTCTTAATAATATGATTAAATATGTATGTTTCCTTGTAAAGTTTTCCGATAATATCATGCATGAACTATAATGGCTACTTAAGATACACCGTAATAAATAAATATAAAACTTAAAATTATCAGAAATTTGCCAGATAATATCTTTATTTTCTTGAAATTTGCCACGTCCTAATAAATATATTTTTTTATTTTTTATTCAAACAAAAAAATATAAGTTGTCTTATAATATTAACCCTATTATATATCACTCCTTTCTGAAATTTAATTGTAAAAAATTATCACCTACTTATAAATTTACACTTTCATGGAATCTGCCTAATAAATATTTGCACTTTCTTGAAATTCACCTTGTCCTACCTCCTAAAAATTATCACCTACTTATATGCTAACTTTGAAAGAATGGCGAGAAAAGCAACAGCCCTAAGCCTCTCTATCGTAACGTCAGGCAAAAGGAAACCCGATCATCCTCGTTGACTCTCCTCTCTAGCCGTTTCCCTTCCTCCTTGACTCGCCGTTTCCTTGACGACCTACCGCCGTTCGCTCTGTAGTTTCTCAGCTTTGTCGGTGTTTCCCTGTAGGCAGGTAGCTAAAAAGGCCGTTCTTACAAGTTAGTTTCAGATATTGTTAGACAATTTCATCTTATTAATCATAAATTGCTTCCTTAATTCCTTTATATTTTCTACTTCTTAAGACGATTTTTGTATTTGATCCTTTTTGAATGATGTCATTTGCTCCTTAATGAACAAGCTTCAATATTCGACTGCCATAATGTGTGTTTTGCTTACCATTGGCATCGAAGTCAAATCTATTAATGATATCTATTTGCCTTTGTACAGAATACAAAGTGCATTTACCTTATTAATCTAGTAGAGTTTGAAATTGAACCCTTAGAAAGGGGATGGCCTGTTAGTTTCAAAAACATATTATTTGGAACCAGCATATCATTGTTAGTCGAAACACTTTAGATAAGATGTATGCTGATAAAAGATCCAGTGATATAGAAACATAAATTTGAGAAGATTGTTGTTTCTAATTTTTGAGATTCATAAACAACCATGTTGAGATTTTTTGTTTTGTTAGATTCAATTGTTTGCTGATATCTAGTAAAAACTTGAAATTTCCTATATGTTCTCTTACTCAAGTTGCATATTGAAAATATTAATAATTTGAATTTTCTGTAGCAGATCCTGACATTGAACCACTATAGAGTTTCAAAGCTTACCAAGATACACAAAATCGTGGGATCTTCATCTTCTTCTTCATCAACCCATAACTCATAATGGTTGTTCTCTCTGAACTCCTCTTAGAAGGATCTTCATCTTCTTCATCAACTCATATTCATAGTTCATCAACTCATGATCAAAGATATGATGTATTTTTAAGTTTTAAAGGTGTTGACACTCGTCATAGTTTCACTAATCACCTTCATAAGGCCCTCATTGATGCCGGTATCAATACCTTCTTGGATGATGAAGAGAATGAAACTGTGGAAGATCTGAAACCGGAACTGGAGAGTGCAATTAAGGCATCTCAGGCTTCTATTATCGTATTGTCTAAAAATTATGCTTCATCAACATGGTGCCTCGATGAATTGGTGTTGATCCTTGAACAGCGTATCACATCCAACCATATTGTTATTCCTATATTTTATCAGGTGGAGCCCACCCATGTCAGAAAGCAACAAAGTAGCTTCGGTGATGCAATGGCTAAGCATAAAGAGACAATGGAGGAAGAGACAAATGAATATAAAAGAAGTCAATGGGCTCAAAAGATAGTCCGATGGAATAAAGCGCTTATAGAAGTTTCTAATTTAAAAGGAAAGGACGTAAAAGGAAGGTAATCACTTTCTTACCCATATTTCCATACGCCTTCGATTAAGGAATAAAATTTTCGTATCATCTTATCCCTTTCTATTTCAAGAAGTTTTCTCAATATCATCAAATATTTCTCCATTTCATGTATTAGGACGAAGAAAATGCAAAAAATTGAATCTATGTTTCCTGTTAAGTAATCTTTTAATCAATTCATATCAAATAGATTAAGCTTTATTATAAATTGACATGTGCGTTAGGACAAAGAAAATGTCCAATTTATCTTTCTTATATTATTATTAATATGGTTATTATTGTGGGCCCTGCCATACCCACCTTGTTTCTACTCCATGTGTGAACACCCTTCCCTCCCATATTGACACTTTTATTTGTCCAGTAGAACGAAAATAGAAAGCTAAAACCCTAAAGTAAAACAATAACCAAAATCTAGTACGATAACCCATCAGTGAAGATTCACAAACAATGAACCAAATCAATAAATTTGAAGAATCAGAAACAAAATTTTAAGATTCACAAACAGTAAACGGAATCAATAATCTGATGAATGATGGTAGTGTTGGTATGCTACCTAACTGATTCACTGAAAAACTGCAAAAGGGCCATAAGCTAATTTGTCATTTGGAATAAGGGAGGAGGTTTTAGGAATAACCAACTGTCATTTGTACAACAACCTTCCTTGTTTCAATGTAAATCTTGCCAATAGTTTGTCTGTGTTTAGGATATGATATTCTGAATAAATAGATCAACTACAGTTTCTGTGTAAATTGCTTACAAGGAAACCCTAATTATCGACAGAAAAGATCTCGGCTATAGTTTTCATCTGTAAATATTTGGGGTTGCCACTTTTTTTTTTTGAAGCTCCCATTTTGTACCCGATCTCAAAGTCAAAACTTATAAATTTGCACAACAACTTTTGTTTGACCAAAACCTTTAAACTTCTTTGATCTGTATGTATAAGGGAGTGCCTCCTTAGGAGTTAATGACACCATTTCTATACTGACATTACTATGGCCATAGGATTAAGCAGATTGTGTCTGCCTAATAATTGGTTGAAGTATGTGATCAGGTTTGAGTTTTGCATCCGCACCACCCCAACTCCAAAACTAGATAGTTTCCAATATAATCAATTGAGTGAAATTAGGCATTACTAGTATAGGAACTGTGGTCATGATTTTCTTGAGTTTATTGAATGTTGCTACTGTGGCTTATCTGAATTTCTCTTCTTGCCTTTTTGGCATACAAATATATGTGTGGTGGATTTAGCACATTAATTCACAATTGAAATTAGCGGATTATTCACAAACAATAAACCAAAAAAAAGTTGAAGATGAAGCTAGACTCGGAAAATGAAGCTGATTGAATCCTAAACCCTAAAATTGCATTATGTTTCTCTCTTCCATCAAACCAGAAATCCAAAAAATCCGCTTCTCTCCTCCCACCTCCAATCACCATCTCTAAATCCTCAAAAACCCATGTCTTGAGGGTGAAAAAATGTTGCAGGTGGATGAAGGGGGAGGATCATTGGTCGGGGTTATAGTGATGAAGGATAGTGATGGTGGGGGTAAAACGGGGAGGGGACACTATTAGACTAGGAATTATATGTTGTAATGTTTATATACTCTGTACAGGTGAATAATATGGGAAGCGGATTTGGTCCACATCCTACTCCAATATGGTATCACAGCGGAGCGTGTTACAATGTTTTTCATGTATATTTATTATATTTATACGTATTCTTTTACGTATAAATACATTTTTCTAAGTATAAATATGTACTCAAATATATTTATATTTGCATTTATTTAATAATATTAATAATGACAAATTTAAAAATTAATATGTTTTTTTGAGTTTTAAATAAAATAATAAAAATAAAAATAAAGGTTTTGCAGAAAAGTCTTAATATTTTGGGTCTGTTTTGGAAATAGTCCAAATATTTTTGAGTCAATTTACGAAATAGTCGCAAATTAAGTTGTCACCGACTGAACCGGAAAAAAAAGGTCAGAATGCAACCTTTTACAGGTTTTTAGGACTTTGTTGTAAAAAAACTAATAATTTGGGACTATTTTATAGGCTGACCCGAAATATTTGGACTTTTCTAAAGATTTTCCTAAGATCATTGTATCTCAACATGTTGCCTTCGGTTGACATGTCGTCTCTTTTGCTTAGCTTTGTTATTCTCCCCCCATCTTATGATTTCCTTCACTCCACCCTATCCACAATCTACACAGCTAGTTGGCATTCTGTTACAACAACATCATCCACTACACAAGAACCATCTACCACGATACCCCCCTACCCAACCCCAACCAAAAGCATACAACTCACCACACCCAAACCGTATCTCTATAGCCAACCTACAACCTTCCTAACTCACCTGACCTAACTGAACACCCCTCCCATTTCAAAACCTACAGTCGCTGACCCAAAACTACACCTCACCGTACTACCAACTCCATTCATATCCCATTTTTGGCTTCCACTGCCCCACTACAACCTACTACGTCATCGTCATCACGCGTACCGGTTCCTCCCCCACCACGAACCATGCAAACCCGCAGTATGATAGATAATTCTAAACCCAAACACCCATTAAAAATACACACTGTTGTTCCTTTTGAGCCTATTTTCCGAAACCCGACAGAAGCCCTACATAATTTAGTTTGGAAACGTTCCATGATGCCCTTATTGATAATCTCACTTAGGAATTAGCGCCTCGTCATCCCTACATGAACTTAATAAGGTATATGTGCATTTTTAAACATAAAACCAGACTTGGTTATGATGCTAGATTTCAACAAAAAGGGGTTGACTGTGATGAAACATTTGGACTGGTTGTTAAACCGGAAATCATTCGTATAGGTTTAGCATTGCTTTATTTCATAGGTGGGAGATTAAACAGTCAGATGAAAAAAACACAATCTTGCATGGACATTTGGCGAAACTATTTACATGCCTTAACCTATGGGATTTCGACACCCATCCTATTTGGCTGAAACTTTTTATATGCATTAACCTGCAAGATTTTAACACCCATCCTATCCTCACCATGTATGTCGATTGAAAAACAATATTTATATGGTCTTAAACAGACACCCAAGGCGTGGTAGCCACGTTTCACCGATTTCATCACCACACTTGGATTTCATCATAGTGCTTGTGACCATTCATTATTTATCCACATGGCACAACATATCCATTACTTTATGTCTACAACATAATCCTTACCATATTGTCCTTCTATTTAAAATAAAAAATTATGTTTCAACTGTCTTGTGATTTTTTCAATGGAAGATTTAGGCATGTTACATTACTTCTTGGGAATCTCTGTGGTAGATCTTGTTTGAGACGGTCAATCTCCACAGAAGTATAAGGAAGGGGAAGACAAAAGATGGAGCAATTTTCAATATATTCACTCCCAAAAGAAAATACAATTTAAAGACTAATGATTGTCTCATGATCTCCTCAATTATAGGAACGGTAGTAATCATGGAAACCTAGTGGAGCTAAAAACAAGGAAATAAAGAAACATTTAACTTCACGTGCAACTAGTTCAGTGATTAACTTGGTCTTCAAGGGTCCTTTAATCTGCAAAGCGGGCGGGTTTCCTGATGGGTGTTCTGGGTCGGGTGTGGGTTATAACCGTATCAATACCCCCTCGGTTAGGAACGACCTTGTCCTCAATGTCAGATGGTAGTTGGGAATCGTCAAATTCATTCTTATTTTCCCATGTGGCTTCTAATATGCCACGCCCTTTCTACTTGAGAAGAACTTGTTTAGTACTCTGTGGTTTATTTGGATCATACGATTATCCAAAATAGCTTCAGGTTCATGAACTGGAAGGTCTTCAATGAAAGTCTCTGGAAGTGACAAATGTGAGGGAGTAGAGTTTCATAGGCATGCTCTTAAGAGTGATACGTGAAAAACTAGGTGAATACGCATTCACGGTGGCAACTCAAGGTGGTATGCTACTTTGCCAATGTGTTCCATAATTTTTAAAGGTCCAAAGAAGTGTTTACAAAGTTTGTGAGATGTGCGTTTTGCAACAGATGATTGTCACTAAATGCGTAACCAGAGATGAACAAGCTCTCCCACCTAGAATTCTTTGTCTTTTTTTTGAACGGTAAATAGCTATATATCTCCTCTGCCTGGGATTGAACCCATGACCTTCTATTTAGTAGTTAGATTATAACATCCATGTTAGCCAAGTGGGCTAGTCCCAACTTGGAGTTCTTAATCTTTTCGATGCTTATTCGCCTGATCTATCATTCTTTGTGATGTGCGTTGTAAGGTGGTTTTAAGGTTGGTAAGTAGTTGTTGATGATCTACTAATGTTGTGTCAATAGAAGCTTCTTTGGAAGAGCCTATAATGTATTGAGGAAAAATCTAGTGGCGGTCGTCCATAGAGCCGGAAATGATGTCATATTAATGGCACTGTGATAGCTTGTATTGTACCAATATTCTGCCAAGTAAAGGTATTTGTTCTAATGCTTTGGTTCATCGCTTGCAAAACAACGGAGATAAGACTCCAAACAACAATTGATTACCTCCGTTAGACCATATGTTTGGGGGTGGTAGTGTAAGAGTTTGCTTCCGAGTTTGCTAAATAGTTCCTTCTAGAACTGACTAAGGAAGAGTAGATCGCGATCATAGACGATAGTTTTTGGAATCCTGTGGAGCCGGTAAATGTAATAAAGGAACAATGTCGCTAGTGTTGTTGTGTTGTATTGTGGTGGCAGGGCTATAAAATGTGAGAACTTGGATAGCTTATCCGTAATGACCCAGATTGATGTTTTTTCGTTGGAAAGTGGTAGGTGAGTGATCAAAATCCATAGATATATCTTCCCACACTTGGTTCGGGATTAGAAGTGATTGAAGAAGGCCATAGGGTTGTTGAGTAGAGTATTTGGTTTGTTGACATACCAGAAACTCTTTGATGTATTTGGTGACTTCCCGTTTAAGATGTGGCAAAAAAAAAGTGTTTATCTGATGCATTGTTGCTACCTGAGTGACCACCCAATGTAGAGGAGTGAAATTCTTGTAACAATGCTAGTCGGAGGGATTCAATTGTTCAGATAAATAAACAGTCCTTGAAGTATAGTAACCAATCGCTGAGTTGGTATCTTGGAAGTTTGGTAGGGTTACTGGTCACCCTGTTGATCCAGGCTCGTCCTTCGGTCATTGTCGTGTTGTAACAATGTAGATTTTCAAACAAAATTTTCATTTCAAAATAAAGTGTTTTCATCCAAAATAAGGCATAAACATTCCACGTGTCATATCATAATACAAATCATATGAATCCCAAGATCATAAATCATCTATCAGTGTGTACAGATCATGTCGGCGCCTTCCCACGGTCCTCGCTAGTACCTGAAACACATACACAACAACTGTAAGCATAATTGCTTAGTGAGTTCCCCAAAATACAACTTACGCACATACGCCTTTCCAGGCCCGGACCTTCCGGTCCATGTGTCTCAGGGAACTTCCGTCCCTACTGGGTAAACCTTCCGGTCCTACCCACGCCAACCTTACGGTCCACATTACAACGCCTTCCGACCCATAACATATTCGCCTTCCGGCCCATAACATAATGCCTTCCGGCCCACATAAATCATATATAGCACATATAACAATTAACTTATCACACGTAGCACATATGTCTCATATCATATCCGACCTTCCGGTCACACAGTCAAACCCTTCCGGGTACAGTATAGTGAGAAGACTCACCTCGTGAATATCGATAGCTAGCAAATCCCGAAGTCACTCGTGCTCGATCCGCCGAGCTACAATCTCCCTATAACATCATACATCTCTTGTTAACACTTTTATCTTCTAAGTTTGACTATCCCTAAGAAGTCAAACATAGGTCAACTATGGTCAACGGTCAACGGTCAACTTGACCGGACTCGGCGAGTGCACAAGGGCAACTCGGCGAGTCTAGACGTATTCGCCAACTCCCTAGGATTCCCTTCTTACTCGTCGAGTGCTTCCCCTGACTCGACGAGTTCCACCTGGGAGAGTCGCGGGGCCACCCCGACTCAACTCGCCGAGTCTCAAGAACAACTCGGCGAGTCCCAGCTCGACTCAGTCCACCTATCGACCCTCTCTAACTCGTCCTGACTCACTGAGTCAACCCGTGACTCGACTGGATCACTCACTGGCCGATCCAAGGCAATCTTCAAGCTACTCGCCGAGTCTGCTCATCGGACTCGGCGAGTCCATGCCATGCAATCACTCAAACTTGCTTCTAAGGTCAGATCTGTTCCAACAATTCATAGATCTGGCCTCCCTAGACTAATTCACCACGTAAAGCCCTAGACTTGGTGCACAAACAACCTCTATATGACCATATATGAAGGATTACCCACAAATATCACTACTCAAGGTCATAACCTCCATTGTTCTCCATAAAGCTTGATGAATAAGGCTCTCTGGACCTCTATGGATCCAGATCCAAGGCCTTATCACTAGCAAGGGACTATTTGGCCATCCAATCAACCCAACAAGGATCACAAGAAACCCTAAAACCAAATATACTTCACAAAACAGAAGATGAGCCGAAATCATACCTCTAGATCGAAGATCTAAGCTCCAAATCCACAGATTAGCAATCTCCTTTGCCTCCTCTTGGCTAGAACCTTCCTCTTCTTTGCTAAACAACACACAAAGTTCAAGAAATACTTCCTTTCTCTCTCAAATCGCTAAAGCACTCTAGGGTTTCTCTCTATGGACTGTTGGGTGCAAATGACGGCCATAAGGCCCTTTAAATAGGTCCCAAACCCGAGAAATTAGGGTTTCATTAAACAGCGTGGACTCGCCGAGTCCATATCCAGGACTCGCCGAGTCCAGACGAATCCCGCGTCCAGAATCGCGACCCTACTAGGCGAGTCTGAGCTCCAACTCGCCGAGTCCCCTCTCAAAACACCAAAAAATTCAAAACAATAAAGATACCTGGCAATCCGGGCTGTTACACGTGTAGTAATCACAGAGTTGTTTGTAACCACAAAAATATGGGATACAAGATGGCTAGCACAAGCGATTCTTCTTGTCTGCTTTGGGCATCAACAACCTTATTTTCTTTTCCTGGCTTGTAGAAGATGTCCAAATTCGTACCCCAAAAGTTTTGTAGCCCGTTGTTCTGGGTCTTAATCAATTGAGTTATCACTTTATTTAGGAGGTGTTTTAGGCTTTTTTGATCCGTGAAGACCCAGAATCGTTGACCCAAGAGGTATTGGCGCCACTTCTTGACTGCTTCAGTAATGGCATGGAGTTCTCGGATATATGTTGAAGCTGTTTGCTTGCATGGGCAGAGCTTCTTGCTAAAGCAAGTGATTGGTTTATCAGCTTGTGAGAGGAAGGCGCCAATGCCAAGGCATCTGTGGTAACATCAAAAAATTCATTGAAATTAGGTAAAGCTAGTACTGGAAGGTGTAACATTGCAACTTTAAGGCTGGCGAAGGCTGTGTTTGCGTCTTCCATCCAGGAGAGTGATGAGCTACGCAGCAGATCCGTGAGTGGGGCGGCCAAGGTAGAGTAGTTTTGCACGAACTGGCAATAGTAGGCGTTAAGCCCAGGAATCCCCGAAGGCCTATGATTGTCTCAGATTTGGGCAGCCACAAAGTTATGAATGGCTTTCAATTTTTCGGGACTGGTGGACACTCCTAATTAACAGAGAGATTACATGCCCTAGGTATTGGATTTCATATACCCCGAAGATGCATTTGGAGAGTTTCGGATAGTATTGATGTTGAGCCAACGTCTGGAACACAATTCGTAAGTGTTCATGGTGTTGTTCTCATGATCGACTATAGATGAGGATGTCGTCAAAGAAAACTAACACGAAGTGGCGTAGTACAGTGAGAAAGATGTCATTAATTGCCACTTGGAATGATAAAGGATTATTTGAAAGGTCAAATGGCATGACCTAAAACTCGTAATGGTTGTTGACAGTCCGAAACCCTATTTTATTGATATCCTCATCATGAACCCGGATTTGGTGGTAACTTGCCCGGAGATCACGTTTGGGAAAAACAAATGTGTCGTGTAGTTCATCCACGATTGGTAAGGGAAATCAATCCTAAATGGTGATGGCGTTAAGAGCATGATCGTCGACACAAAATCTCCATGTTCCATCTTTCTTTCTGATGAGTACGACTGGGGAAGAGAAAAGACTATTGCGGGGGCGGATCAAGCCTTCCTGTAACGTGGTGGAGATGAGATCGATCATGATATGTTTTTGGAAATGTGGATACCGACACTAACATGTTAACCAGTGGTGTGTTAGGTAAGAGAAGGATGTGGTGGTTGTGTCGGCGGCTAGGGGGAAGGGTTGTGGGTGTGGTAAAAATATTTTGGCATTCTTAGAGTAGGGCTTGAATGATACGGTCAGTCGTGGGTGTAGGTGTTGTGTTTTGTGTAGTGGGTTCAAACCGAAGTGCATGCATAGAGGCAACAGATTGCTTTTGTATCAAATGTTGGATGGAACTTACAGTGGCGGGGGTAGTCATATGTGGTAATCATATATGGATGGACCCAATCGAGTTTCCAAGGCTCTAGTGAAATTATCCCAGGTGGTAAGTAATTCAATGTTCAAAAGATACTTATACTAGCTTTGTTCATCTCCACGTAGAAAGAAAGCGACCATTGTGAGTCATTCCGGAAGATTGATGTTATAGAATGTGAAATACTGGTGTGCCTAAAATAACGATTCGAATAGATTGGAGCCATTAAAAGTAACCAAGGTCAGCTTGGGTGGGCGCATTTGTGTGTTGGTGGTGAGAGGTTTGGGTTGTTTACTGGCGGATGCTTTTTCTGGTTTGATTAGGGTTGCCAGGAGAGTATCGGTTTGCTCGTATTCGGTGGTTAGCTGCTTCATGATGATGTCGAGTTGGGACTGGGTGGTAGTTTGGTTGGCGGTGGAAAAAGTAACTAGTTTGGATATATTGTCGACCATGGCTGCCATGGAAGATTAGAGAGTGGGTAATGTCTCAAGTTTTTGAGGCATGATTGAGGACCAGAGCAATGAAAGAACCAAATTGGTAGACCTTGTTTGAGAGAGTCAATCTGTACAGAAGTATCAAGGAAGGGGAAGAAAAAAGATAGAGCAATTTTTGATATATTCATTCCCAAAAGCAAATACAATTTAAAGACTAATGATTGTCTCACGATCTCCTCAGCTCTAGAAACGGGAGTAACCATGCATTGACTTATTCATGGAAACCTAATGGAGCTAAAAACAAGGAAATAAAGAAACATTCAAATTCACGTGCAACGAGTTTAGTGATCAATATTACTTGGTTTTCAAGGTTCCTTTAATATGCAAAGCCGGTGGGTTTACTGATGGGTCTTTTGGGTCGGGTGTGGGTTATACTCGTATCACTCTGTCACCAGAGAGTAGAGATTGTATCGAAATGTTTCTATCCAAGTAGAGTAACTCTATTGGCATTATTTTGCTCGTTAAGACGAAAGATTGTAGTCCAGTTCAGTTCATACACCAACATCACTGAGATTATCTTAGTTATTATGTCAAATAATTGATAGATGATGACACCGCTTATAGGTGCTTCGATAGTTCTCTAAGGCTGGAGGGTGTCGTGCCATCGAAACCGCACTCCCTTCGTTGTCACGTAAGCGCCACGTCATTTTTACAACAAAAGTGCGGTTCCTTGCCACACCTAAGGAGTGGTGCCACACTTTATTTAAAAAAAAATTAAATAAAAACTTTAATTTCTCCCCACCCAATCACAAACCAATCAAATTAGCCACACCCAATCACAAACCGCGACCATTTTTTGCCGCACTGCGGTTTGAACCGCACCAAACCGCACCCAGGGGGAGGTGTTCACTGCTTATGTGGCGAAACCGCACTCCCTGGAACCGCACCACACCCTCAAGCCTAATGTACTTGGCATTTACCTGTCCCGACATGTCATATGTTGTTCAACAAGTTTGCATACATATGTACGCTCTGTGCGGCTCACATGAATGCTCTTAAACTCATTATCCGGTACAATAAAGCCACTATTGATGTTGATATGGGTTTATACATGTGTCACTGTTCACTGTGCACCCTTATCTTATGTTAATTGGGCGGGTTGCCCAGACACTCGTTGTTCCATGTCTAGATAATGTGTCTTCGTGGGTAATAACTTACTCTAATGGTCTTCCAAACGACAAACTACAGTCTTCTTTTAAAGAACATAGGTGTTGCCAATGATGTTGCTGAGATTTGCTTGATTCGGAATCTTTTTCTAGAGTTGGGTTGTCCATGAAAGAGTACTTCTCTCATATATTGTGATAATGTTAGTTCCATATACATGTCGGGAAATCCCATTCAACATCATCGCACTAATCATATCAAGATCGACATTCAATTTGGCAGAGAGAAAGTTCAATGAGGCCATATAAGGGTTTTGCATGTCCCAGCATGTTATCAAATTACCGATATTTTCACAATAGGATTACCATGAGTTTTATTTAATATAGATCCAGGCTAAGCATTCGACATCCTCCTCCTTTGGATCAAGGGGGTATATTAAGACTAGGAATTATATATTGTAATATTTGTAATAGTCATGGTACCAAACTGTAATATTTGTATCTATATACTTTGTACACATGAATAATAGTTGTAATGTTTATAATAGTCGTGTTACTAAACTATAATATTTGTATGTATATACTTTGTACACAAGAATAGTATGGGAAACAGATTTGGTCCATATCCTATTCAAATAGAGATGTTTTTCTCGGAAAAGGATGGGGATAAGGTTTTTTTGTTTGCTAATTTAGATAAAAATAATAATACTAATATTAAAATAATTAAAAATTTAGTATGAAAGGTCAAACTAGTCATTTCATAGGGATTGAATGAACTAGCACTCACGGTATCATAGTGAGTGACCAAAGCCACAAAGATAACCTAGCAGAGGACGATTGTTGCAAAAATTACAGCCTTTTGGACTTGATCCAAAGAAAACAACATAAATTTGAACTATTTTACAGTCTTCTCTAATAAATAAGAATAACTTCTTGTATCTGTGAGTAGTAGAGAATGACACTTAGAGAAGATAACTTGGTTTTTTTTAGACACATGCAAAACCACATTGATAGTTAAGCTTGATGGTCTTGTATAAACATAGTAAAGTTATGTGGCTGATATGTGAAATATTGTAGCACATTGGTAGCTTTCGTCTTATCATACATAAATATTATGACCTTACACATTTGATGACTATATTTTTAGAAGTAAAAAATACAACATGGTTTTGATGTGAATATCTTAATTCATAACAATAATATGGTATAATATTGATTTGATCTTCGGATAAACTAAATCTTCAAATCTTGTTCTTTAGGTTGTAGATTGTGTATTGAAGTTATTGTTAATTCAAGTTTCAGGCCAGAGAAAAAGTTCATTGAAGAAATTGTGAAGAACATACACCGTAGATTACATATACACTTACGGAGTGCTCAACCTCTATTTATTAGGATGGACTATCATATTAATTTCATCACTTCATGGTTGAAAGATGGATCCTCACATATGGCGGATATACTCACTATTTATGGCATAGGCGGGATCGGGAAGACATCTTTAGCCAAACATATATATGGGCTATATTGTCATGAATTCCAGAGAAGCAGCTATATTGATGATATCACTAGGAAATGTAATGGAAATTTTAATGGGTTGCTTGATTTACAAGAACAACTCTTCAATGAAATTTCCAAAACAAGTTCAATAAGATTTCATGATGTATCAATATACACCACAAGGATAGAGAATGCACTAGCCCGTAGAAGGGTCTTTCTAGTTCTTGATGATATCACCACTCTTGATCAGTTGGATTCATTACTTGGAAGCAAAGGTTTTCATCCCGGAAGCAAAGTTATAATAATAACAAAGGACTCATGGTTGACAGAAAGTTGTGCACTTTTCAAAACAAACATTAAACCCAACCATGCAATGCATTTCCTTGAAGGATTAGATGAGATTCAATCACAACAGCTTTTGTGTTCTCATGCATTTAGGTGCAACTATCCCAAGGCAGGTTATGAAGAGGTGTCAGATAACCTAGTGAAGTATTGTCAAGGACATCCATTAGCTCTTAAAGTTTTGGGTAAGTCTCTACATAATCAAGATGTAGCTTACTGGGAAGGGTGCATAGAAGGTCTAATGAAAGAAACAAATTCTCGTATAAATAATGTATTGAGAATGAGCTTTGATGCTTTACCATGTAACAATGATAAGGAGTTGTTTAAGCACATTGCTTGTTTTTTTGTTGGAATAGATAAAGATGTTAGTGAAACAATATTAAATGCATGTGATATAAATACAAGATCTGGGATCACAGATCTCGTTGACAAATGCCTTCTTAGTATAGGACTGAATAATGAATTGAAGATGCATCAGTTGATTCAAGAGATGGGAAGATGGGAAGTACGTCAAGAGTCACTTGACAAACCATGGAAGCAAAGTCGATTATGGTGTCATGAGGAGTCATTTAGAGTGTTAAAACAAAAAAAGGTAAGAGGCCATTTATGCTTGTAGTATTGTGCATGTTCAAAGGATTTTGTATTATCTAATTTTTTTCTATTTTTTTTCAATGTGTTTCTTCTTACTTCTTAGGGAAAGGGAAATGTTCTAGGCCTTGCTCTTGACATGCGCATGATTGAGAAAGAGAAGTTGGGTGCATCATTTGAGCTGAAAACGGATGCATTTAGTAACATGGATAATTTGATGCTACTACAACTTAATTATGTGCATATGAATGGGTCTTATGAGAACTTTCCTGAGGAATTAAGAGGCTTGTGTATGCATGGGTTTCCTTTAAAGTCTATATCTTTAGACTTACCGATGATGAATTTGGTTGCTCTTGACATGTCATATAGCAATATTGAATCATTTGTCGGTTGTGATAGTAATCCACGGCTTGACAAGAGGCAAAAGGTAACTTATCTTCACTCATTATTCTTTCATGTTGAGTTAATGAAATTCACTACTATTCTAACTTATTTCCTTTGTTTTTGAAGTGGGACAGATCACGCTTAAAAGACAATAAGCTACTTGGATCATTGAAGATTCTTAATTTAAGTTTCTGTAAACAACTTCGTAGTCTTGGTGAATTTGAGCAACTTCCTACACTTGAGAGGTTAATAGTTAGAAATTGCATTAGTTTGGTTGAGGTCTGTGAATCAATTGAGAAATGTGTTGACCTTGCCTTCATCGATCTTAGCTACTGCAAGAAGATTGAAAAACTTCCGAGAATCATAAGCATGTTGAAGAGTGTTAAGACAATGTTGCTAGATGGTTGTAGTCTTGGTAAATCTCGTATCCAGATTAGGGATATGGATTCACTGGAATTGTGCAAAGGTAACAACATTAGCATAAACAAAAGGACCTATTTCTCTACCTTTGAGGGTGCCATACCAAGTGATTTGAAGTTCTTTGCAATGTCTTTACCGAGGACTTTAGTAAGGTTGTCACTTGTAAATAGCAATTTGTTCACTGAATCCTTTCCCATGGACTTCAGTTGTCTATCCATGTTAAAGGAATTATACTTAGATAGCAATCCCTTCGATTCCATGCCCAGTTGTGTGAGAACCCTTCCTATACTTGAGATACTTAGTATGGAGAATTGTACAAAATTGGAGTTAGTTGAGTGCCCTCCACGCACTTTAAGAGCATTGTTGTTCGATTCTGATGATCTGGTTAATGTAAAAAAAGTTTTATTTGATCCGGAAATGTCCCCACTAGAGTTACCATTTACCTTGATAACTGTTGAACGTTGGTTGTATGAAATTGAGGGCATTGTGAAAGTCCAAGAAATAGTAGGTGTTGAGGAAAAGGTATTACATAGATTGGGCTGGGCTGATTTAGAATTCCATAATGAAAAGTGTGTGGGAAGTAATTCTTCATCAGAACTTGGAATCCAGGTTTTGTTCAGTTAACTGTCCATGTTTATGTGAATATGTATAATGTAATTGTTATGGATATTAATTAAGCTGGTTGTATTTGGCAGACGATGTTTTATGAATTTGGAATATTCAGCACAATGTTTGAGGCAGAAGAGATACCAAGTTGGTTTAGGCATAGAAGCATGGGTCCATCAATATCATTTACCATCCCATCATCATCATCTCCAAACAACCTCCTTACAGGAATCAACTTTTGCTCTCTGCACACAGAGAAACCTACCGATGAGTGGCCTCTACTTCCAGATGATAATCCGCTCCCTTTTCCTCCAATAATGACAATTAGTAATATAACAAAGAACCGCATGTGGATATACGAACGTCACTTGGAAAAAATTGTGGAAAATGGAAAGGGTTGGGTGTTGTTAAGTCATTGGATGTTTGGGATGAATGAGATGGACGTTGGTGACTATGTTACTATTACTGTTACCCTGCCGTTTTTTAAATTTGTAAAGGAGTGTGGGGTGAGTCTTGTATATGCTAATGGAGAAAACAATGATGAAGAAGATGCATTGGGTTATTACAAATCATGGAATCACATAATTGGTGGAGATCTCTCTCATTTTCAAACAACAACAGGACAATACATCCTAAACTACTATCGATTTTTTCTTCCTTACATAAAATTGTATCCCTATCACCGTAAATTCATTACGGATGGCCCCGACTATCAAGGTAGATGTCATTTTTATTAAATATATTCTTATTGTCATGTCTCATTTATAATGATTTCATCCATGACCCAACTTTTTTAATATATGGATCGTAACTTAAATCTTTTAAGCAAATGGATCTTATGACCCAAATATACCCATTTTTTTATCGATTTTATTGACCTATAAGACAAGATTTTGTCTTTATAAAATATAAAAACCAAAAGTTGTACTTTTAATTTTTATATGAATGGAAAAAGTAATAATCCGTCTAAATGGGTTGATTTGTTATGTCAGTTGACTATGTCTTTTGATATGCTGGACCATATAAATATATTTATGCTCAATACAACTTGTGTTCAGGACAAAAGAAAGGGTCCTGGTTTAGAGCTTTATCTCAAAGGAATCCTGGATTAATTGGTAGCAGACGTGAGGTATGCTTTTTTCACACCCAAACATTTCTATCATCACAGCATAAAAATGCGTACACAACCAAATATGTTACATCATATCTCCATATACTTAGTTGACTTTTACTTTTCCTTTATTGATCATTAGGGTAAGGGGGAATCTTCAACGTTTCATTATTCACCTGAAAGTGCTTGAGAAAGAGAGGCTGCATGCATGTAACCGAACTACTCTGAATCAATCATGTGAAACTCTATGAGTTCTATCCTAATTTTCCACAAGAATTAAGATAGTTTGCTCGTTGTCACACTTGGTGCCCATATGTGAAATGTTCTGGGCTTTTGTTTTCATATATTTTTTTTTATTTATCTTTGATTGCGAATGATAGGTGATAAACAATATTTAATGTTACTATATTAGTTTTTAAATGTATGTTTGTATGTGTGTTATCTCTCGGCCCTTTGCATATCTCGCCCATTCTTTGTAATTTGTATTTTATATGTGTGTATAATGAGAAGGGTAAAGAGACAGGAAGATAAATTGATTTCAGTTAATACATGTGTGAGGAACATGATGTAAGTCTCTGTGTTGTACTGATTGCTTTATATATATTCGATATTTTTGCAGAGTTTCCATGATTCTCATGATTTTTGCGTTGCTGTAGGCGTCTTTGTCATCGGCAATTGCCGCCACGAAACCCCACCATGAACTACCAGCCGACATCAGTGTTAAGTTGCCTTGAATTTAAGTAGTATTATAAAATTGTGGTATGGCCATTAAATTTCTGCTCATATTGAGGACTTAAATAAGCTTCTTAGATGCCCTAGGATAAGACATTCAACAGTAATTAGATGTATATCTATGGTACATGTTTAAGAACTTGAATATACTTGTGGGTTGCTAAACAGTTTGAAACTTTCAATATTGGCAACACGGAGTATCTTCATCTCATTTCTTTTCTGGATAATTAATCAGAAATTTGTAAACTATTTATTTGAATTCATAAAAGGGGATTTTCGAATGATCTAAGCATGAAAGTAATCTGTAAGTCTGGTTCCAGTTGTTTGCTGATTTTTGCGGTTCCAACACTAGTGATTTCAAAATGACAAAAATTTTCTGTTTTCATCAGGCTTGGTTGTGAATTCGGTCCCTCTGTTTAACAGCTGTTACTGTACATATGCTAAAATGTTACTACTTTGCACTGTATTTTTTGGATTTTTATTTGTATATTTATTTTATTCAAATTATTAACCTAAAAAACCCCCCAACCCCTTTACCCAGCCCCGTCTTTGGTCTTCCATGTGTCCCCTTCTCTTCTCGGCAGGATGCCACTACCACCAATTTCCTCACATAACCGGTGACCGACATGTTCCAACCCTAGCCATTTCCTTCATTTTTACAAATCGCCGCCGTGTTCGAATTCTAGCCTCCAATGTCTTCCGAACTCTAGCATCCATGTATTCACTGTCTCCGGCCACACTTGCTCAATTAGTCGCAGCCAACCCTCATATTAGGAATGTGCTCTAACCTCCATCGCGATACATTTCTCTTATCGGAGAACCTCAAATGCTATGTTCATTGTTTCTGACAAAGAAACTTACTCTAGTTACCATTGTTACTAACTCCGACGAACCATAACAACCTGTGTTGTCATATTTGATGCTAGTTTCTGGATACACGGTTGTATAGCTATAAACCAGTTTGCGGTTTCTGAACAATAATCACTAAACCATGAACTATTGTAGACAGCGAGTGTGAACAACTGAAAATCCGAAACCCTAAAAAACCAATGGGCATTCTTTACATTTATGGAAATGTATATCCGCACAAATGGTTGGAAATAACATATCACTAGACTACATTTGGCTATAACATGCTAATACTTATGTGATGTGATAAAAACACACGTATACCGCATCACATTTAGACCATACCCGGTAAAGGCTTATATCAGCCATCTCATGTTGATTCTTTACGTCGGTGCTGAAAGCAGCTGGCGGCAAAACTATCCCAGGAGCATTATCAGGCCTTCTCTCTAGAAGCAAAGATATCCATAGCATATTTTGTTGTCGATGACACATGAATAAAATAGAGTAAATTACCTAAGTAATTGTTTATTGTATAATGATAACATCCAAATATAAATAACTTACATCACAACCTAACAAACAGTACTAAATGTCCCCATTTAAAAGTATCTAAATATCCATCACCACCCGATAGACAAGATAATAGTGAGCAAACAATATCAAAAGTTTGCACTTCTTATATAGCGTGTAAATATTTCCGTCCACGCAATAGTCCAAAAAAGATGGGTATACACAGTTACATCCTTTATTTTACATCTATACACATGGAGACTTTAACCTAATCGAAATATGTGTCTATCATTGCGTACGCCTAAGTGGTAATGGTAGGTTTTGGTAATATGTCCAAGAAATCTCAATGATATCTTCCTTATGTGAGGTTACATCTGTAACGCCCCAAAAATACGAACCAAAAATTTCATTTAAAAAAAAACATATATTTAGCAAGCATTCAAATTAAAACGTTTACTGATCATAACATTTTATAAAAATATCACATGTCTGGAAAAAAATTCATAAAAACATAATAATGTCAGAGTACAATTACCCAGGAAGATCTCGCGATGCGGAATATGAAGCATGTGTGTGATGGGCCGCTACCGTGCCAGCTCTTTCCCCTTCGAAGAAGAGGTATCTGAAACCAAAACTGAAAACTGTAAGCACGAAGCTTAGTGAGTTCCTCCATCACACAACATACCATACAATCACATAACATACATATTGCCAGACATTTCTGGGGTGCCCGACCTACCCGGTACGACTATTCTGGGGTGCCGACCAACCCGTGTCAAGCCATTCTGGGGTGCTGACTACCCATATCAAGCCGTTCTGGGGTGCTAAATACCCTTCGGTCCCGACGACCGAACCTCGGGGACTATTTCACCCCCTACTGCTACTATCACATATACCATAACATAACATATATCAGACATATCTGGAGTGCCTGAACTACCCTTCGGTCCTAGGAACGGAACTCAGGGACTGGTCCCCTCCTACCACCTCTATCGTATATAACATAACAAGCCAGCATTCAAACATATCATCCCATACTGTCAGACGTATCTAGGGTGTCTGACTACCCTTCGGTCCCAACAACCGAATTCTACTACTACCACATACAACATATCATGCTAGCATATAACATATCAGGTAGTAGCAGACCTAGATGATATCACAAAGACAATCATCTATCATACGTTTCCCTACTGGTGGGTGGGCATTGTGGCCATAGACCCACCGCTACAGGAAGGTAACTCACCTCGAAAGTAGCTGCTGAAATCTGCTTGCTGAGTGACTAACTGTTGGATCGCAAATCCTCCGGCTATAAACCATGAACATAGGTTAGACACCCATAAATACCATTAGGTCAAAAGACTGACCCTCCCTTGGCCCAAGGTCAACCCCTTGGTCAAAGTCAATGTCCGTTTGACTGGACTCGTTGAGTCATGACCTGGACTCGTCGAGTCCTTTTCCTAGTAACCCGATCCTACCCAACCAGTCCTTCTTCCCACTCACTGAATCGCTCTTCATTCATGACTTGGGACGATTGAACTGACTCGTGACCCGACTCGCCGAGTTTGAAGAACAACTCGCCGAGTTCCAGGCAATCTTCATAGGACTCGCCAAGTTGTTCATCCAACTCGCCGAGTCTAAGGCTGTCTTCATGGAACTCGCCGAGTTCCTCCTTGGGACTCGCCGAGTCCCTATGACCCATTTCCCATATAGGCCAAATCTAATACATGCAACGCTTCAAAACCATAGATCCATGTCCCTTGAGCATGCTTATCACGTAAAGTTGCAAACTTTACGTGCATGCATGGCCCTATAAGCTATAAAGGCCAAAACCAAGCTCTTCAAGAGGTCATAGACTCAATGAGGACCTTAATCACTTCAACCACTGGAGCTTTATGCTACTAATTCATCCAATAAGTCCAGATCAGAAGTCCTTTCGGATCATTAAGCACCACACATGGAGTTTGGTGATCTAGGGCTTGAAAACCACCAATTTGGGACAAAAATGGCAACTAATGATCTAAAGATCAAGGTAGAGACTTTTCTACCTGAATGGAAGCTTCTCCCTGCGTAGAGTTCAGATCTACTCCTTTCCTTGCACTCTTCAACCACCCCTTTCTCCTTCCAAGCTCCAATCTCCTTCACAAGACGAAAAGCTCTCTAGATCAATAAGGGGGGCCAGGGTCTCACTCTAATGCTCTCTAGAAGTGTTAGGGACACAGGAGGCCAAGATAGAGTGTTTAAATAGGGTGCAGACACCCGGATTAGGGTTTTTGCCAAACCAGGGCCTACTCGCCGAGTCTAGAGTCCAAATCCCGCTCCTTGACCCACTCCTACTCGGCGAGTTGGCCCATCAACTCGCCGAGTCCAAGGCAATATATAAAGAAATAAATAGCAAGGAGTACATACCACTAGCTCGAAGTCTGCTGCTCGATCCCGAAACAACTCAGGATAGTGCTCCATCATCTCTTCCACTGGTTCCCAAGTCCACTCTGAACCCTTCCGGTGCTGCCACTTCACCTTCACAAGTTCCACCTTTTTGTTCCTCAGATCCTTCGACTTCCTGTCGAGGATTTCCACAGGCCGCTCGATATAATTTAGACTGTCATCGACCTGGATATCTTCCAAAGGCACCACTGCCGAGTCGTCCACCAAACACTTTCGCAACTGAGAGACGTGGAAAGTGCTGTGGATTTGGCTGAGTTCGGCTAGTAGATCCAACCTATACGGCACCTTGCCCACCCGGGCTACAACCCTTAATGGCCCGATGTACCTTGGGCCTAACTTACCCCGCTTTCTAAATCAGATGACGCCTTTCCATGGCGACACTTTCAGAAGAACCATATCCCCAACTTGAAATTCCAAGTCTGAACGACGCTTGTCGGCGTAACTTTTCTGCCGACTCTGAGCAGTCTGAAGCCTGCTCCGGACCTGCTGAATCTTCTCCGTCGTCTGGAGCACCACTTTAGTGCTTCCCATGACCCTCTAGCCAACCTCTCCCCAACATATCGGGGTCCTGCATCTTCGTCCGTATAACATCTCGAAGGGAGGACGGTCAATACTTGTGTGTTAGCTGTTGTTGTATGAGAACTCAGCTAAAGGAAGATAGGTATCCCAACTACCACCAAAATCCAGCATGCATGCCCGCAACATATCCTCAAGGGTCTGGATGGTCCGCTCACTCTGGCCATTCGTCTGCGTGTGAAAGGTAGTGCTAAAATGCAGACGAGTACCCAACTCATCATGAAAATTCTTCCAAAACCTGGAAGTAAAATGCACATCTCTGTCTGAAATCACTGATACTGGCACCCCGTGCCGTGCCACTATCTCCCTGATATAGATATCGGCCAACTACTCGACCGAGATGCTCTCCTGAATCGGAATAAAATGGGCGCTCTTGGTCAATCAATCCACGATGACCCATATAGAATCCACTCCCCGCGCATTCCTGGGAAGCTTTCTGATAAAATCCATCGTAATATCCTCCCATTTCCACAACGGGATATCCAACGGCTGCATCTTGTCGTGCAGTCTCTGATGCTCGGCCTTGACCTTCCTGCAGGTCAAGCACCGCTCGACATACCACGCCACATCCTGCTTCGTGCAAGGCCACCAATAGTCCAGGCGAAGATCCTGATACATCTTCTTCGCCCCTGGATGAATAGAGAATCGGGATTTGTGTGCCTCCTCCATCAATATCTTGAGCACGCCTCCATGATACGGCACCCACACCCTGCGGTGTAGTGTCAATAATCCCCGGCTATCATAATCGAAGGAGGTGACTTGCCCCACTATACGCTCACTCTTCTGATGCTCCTCCTTCATAGCCTCCTGTTGAGCCTCCCGAATCTGCTCCAACAGGGGAGTCACCACAGTCATCCTCATGCAAACATCCCTGATCGGCACCGCCTT